GGCAAAAGTAGTGCTGGGGCAACGCCTGAGCACAAGGGAGGGCAAGTGGCAATCATAAACATCCTTAGGAAGGCGGTGGGTCATGCCTTTTGTAGGTACTTATAGTCAAACGGGCTGGTGCTGTGGGAGGGGCCTGGTACAGTAATTTGTACAACTGAATCATTTACTGCAGAAGTCCGATATTGCACTTCTATTTGCACAATGGATTTTTTCAGCTTTTCCCATGTTTAAATATAACCAGTGGCAGAATATGTTCTGTATTATTTCAATTTTTTTTTTAAAAAAGATGGGAGAATAAAGAAGAAATGTCACACAGTGAGTAATACAAAAAGTGACTTAAACCAGCAGACAATAAGGAACCTCTTGAAACACCAGCATTTTACACAGGGACACAGATGCATAAAATTTACTGTCAAAATGTTTATTGCAAAATAGAAGTTTGGAACAAAGAGAAGCAAAGGAAAAAGTTCACATCAAAAGAAAGTTTATGACACCAATTGAGGAAATTGAATACATTGCATGATTTCTTCTTGTTTGTTTGCTTTGGTTTTACACTGGAAAAATCAAATCCACAGTGTGAATAAAACAAGACATCATATGTCAAGTGCAATAAAGAGAGTAACTGACGCTGCAAGGTTTTACCACAAAGAAGTGTAACATTGCATGTTCCACACAAATGATATATTCAGTTTACAGCACGAGTTTTGCCACAGGCATTGCGCTCAGCTTTGTTTTTTCAGAAGGGAAAATGAAGTTTTCTAACACCGTGAAAAGATTTTCTATTCAAATTTCATCGGTTCACACTTGAAGTGTAAGTAGCATTGACTCCTAGTATTCAGTACAAAACTTCTTCAGTAGTGCAAAAGCAAGAAATGCAGTGGACTATATCTGACTTTAAAAGGCATATGAATACTTAGCACACAATATAAAATGTTTAAAGAAAGTTGTTGGTTCTACAGTTTTAAAATTAAATCTTCACACACCAGAAATCTCTGTGCAGATTTTACAGTATACACTAAGTCGAAGTCTGGAAGAAAAGGGAAAGATCTCTCCTCCAGATTCCTACCAGTGCATTTTAAGGGCTGTGAAAATTACTAAATGAATTTATTTTTCTACCTGAACGTTCTACCTCGGACTGTAGTTAAAACCTCTGTCAAGTTAGAGGTCTTATTAAAAACCTGTAAAAGCTGCCTGATTACAGAAAAAGGAACTACAGTACTAAAGACACACCGTAACGCTGCTGAATACTTAACAGCTATATGCCCACTATGGATTTACTGCTACTGCAATAGCAATATAAATCATTATTGCATCAAATATTTAACTCAGAATAACCACTTTAAAACCCAGAAGGAATGGGAATCAACATCTAATGAAACCGCTGGAACGATAAACAAATGACAAGTCAAGAACAGGACTGTGTGACAAGGAGCTGTGCCAGACCTCACCTCCTGGAAGCCCTTCCCATCTAGAGGGGACAAGCTCCACATCAGGCAGCACACAACCAGCTGGGGATGCAGCACACCTACACACCGTACCTTAGGACACTTGCTACTCCAAGGAATTAGTGGTGTGATCATCACAAAAATGACTAGATCAAACGTTTTCCTCTGTTAATTCCCCCTTTCATTTTTCCCCTCTGCTGAAGGAAAAGAAAGGGAGCGGGGAGTCAGACATCCTGTCTTGGTCCCAGCTCACCCTGTATCTCTAAGCCAGCCGAAAGCCGATCCTCACCATTCTTCTCTCGGGCCATTTACCCACCTAAGTCAATGTTGGCAATACAACACAGCCTGGTAAAAACAAGAAGTTCAGGCCTGGTTTTTACCTTTCCCCTCCGTCAAGTATTATTTTACTGCAGATATCTCCAGGGCTTATGGAAGGTAGAGAAACTGGGATCCCAAAAGGCCTGGTGGGGACTAGTGAGCCGAGAGGTGTACGAGGCATGGGAAGGCTTTTGGTGGCTTTGCTCACAGCCCAGAGCAGCCAGAGAAACACCTTCTGGGTTTGGTTAATGCTTTCACAAGCTGACACTCCATGTGGCTGTGGACTGATGTGGAGATCTATACACCCCGGTGATGATACAGGTAGAAGACAGACTGGGTTGCACTGCAGAGCAAAATCCGGTGTGGAAGATGAAATATTCTGACCTCCTCCAACCAACACACCTGCCCACCAAGCCACTTTCAGAACCTTTATCTAGTGAGAAGCATATCAGAGGCAGAAACAACACAGCTTGATTCTCACATATGATTTTTGGCTTGTAAACTGGAGACATCTGGTATGAAAGTCATCATAGGAAAATAAAAATGCAGTCAGTACCATTATTTTTTTAATAAGCATAGCCAATATCCTAAGTATAACACTATCTCAAGGGAACTGCATCAGAAGAGTTTGTCATGTGTTATCACCTCTACAATTCAGAGATCACCTTTGCTACTTTGAACACACAGGTAAGTTTTACAAGAGTTTAAACTTTTCCTTAATATAGCTTAATTTGCTTTGACAAATAATGTATGGGGAAAGAAAGGGGAAGGGGGAAAAAGAATCCATCTTTGTTTCATTAAAAAATGCTGGAACTAAGTACACGGCGGAAATTCCTATGAGCATGCCACCAAATTCTGATGATATTTTGCTGAAATAAGTTAGACACCTGGCTAAGCACAAAACCTTGAAGACAGACGTGAATCTTGTGATTTTGCAACTATGAAACCCTGTGTCATACTGCTTAAGGACTACTTTTTCTTCTGTAAAGATTAAGGAGTGGATTTACACATTCAGTTAAAACCCATGCAAATATAAATGTGCATGAAGTGCTCTGAGATTGTCAGGTGCTAAAAAAAATGTAAAACATCAATGCTAGGGACAGATCTTTTGGTTTTTTTGAATACTATATGTACTGAACCAAATTTCATTTTCAGTTAAAGCTGTACAGCCCTACACTGGTTATGTGGTACAGTAATTTATGCACAATAACACACATCTTAAGATCTAAAGTGCACATATTAGATTACACAAATCCATCAAATTTTCCTGGGTGCAAAGTGGCAGTTACAAAAATAGTATAATTGCTGTGGGTGTTAGCAGACGTAGAGTTACAAAAATAGTGCAAATCTGCACTGGAAACAGCTTATTTGCTCTTACTGCCATTTAATTATTTGCCCTTCAATGTCCCTTTTTCTCCCTAAAACCAGGTTGCTTTGACGGACCTACGAAGGCATCCCTACCTGTGCCAAAGGAGCAAGTTTCTCCTTGGGATATTCTGTAAACTTATTACATCATTCAAATTACAATTCTATCATGAGAAAATCTTCCCAATACAAGAGGGTTAACCTCAAGTTATGATTTGCATACTGTTAGGAAGAAGACGGAATGTGGCATGACATCCTACAGAAATTAAGCATCTCAGAGGGTCTAATCCTGTGCAAACTGAGTGGAGTAGGCTAGCTCGAAGCGCAGCACTCGCTGCCTTGCAGGTTACCAGACCACTGCTGATGCTTAAGGATAAAACAATTCTCTCTCACAACCCGAAGAGGTGCCCACTCGTCACTCTAGAAAAACTCCTTCAAAGAACTTTCTCTTTTGTTGAGCGAACATGTAATGATTTCAGGCCTGCTGTTATCTAATGTATCCATTTTTCTCTAAGCTATCTACAAAAACACTCACCATAATATGTAGGTTAGAGCTGTGTAACAGGCAAGCCTATAATTAAAGAAGCCACTCAAAAACAGAAGTTTTCATAAAAGAAACCCCTCCAGTAATTGAGAATGGAATTGTGATGGCTTATTCCCACTACAGCTGAAGTAGCCAGTAGCATTTTTCTTTTGAAATGCTGCTCTTCTTCCTTGGGCAAATATTTTACATCTTCCTTTCTAACCTGCATTTGTGTTCGCACTGGTTTCCCTCCCTCCTTCTGCATCACCACTAAAGGGGTCATCAGGAGAAATGTACTTGCTGCTCTCAACATAAGTGCCTGGCAGGCAATTATTGCAGCAGATTGTTACACACTGAGTTTTACAGTAAGTCATAACAGCAGTGGCTATACTTTAAAAGTGATTTAGCTGCAAAAAACAGGTATGCAGAGACTAGTAAATATTCCTCACATTACTGCCATCATGGAGAATTTCACATAAGCCACAGTAGTAGGGCCCAAGCTGAAATGTCATTGTGGCTTTGTCCTTTCGTAAGGGTAGCAGACACGGTTTAGGAGATGCAACAGAATCAAAATTTACTAACACCGATTTTTACTCTCAAGTACAAGAATAAGTGCATCAAAGTTAATGAGGCTTCCTGGATTTACATCAACATAACTGAAAATTAGCTTCTAGATCACAGTATCTGATAATAGATGCAGAGGTCTGATTGCAGTTCGCTTTACTAGAGTGAATTATATACACAAGCACATACACGTGAGGGAAAAAAAGAACATTTATACAAATCATCTACTAATAGGGATTATCTGGATTCTGCTGCTATTCAGTTTTTAAACTGCGTATTTAACTAACCCCTCGCTTGCCCTCAACCAAGCCGCTCTCCTCCTAGAAACGTATTTGTGACTTCCCACAATGCCGCCTTGAAAAAGCCTTTAAATTAGAAACACAGCAAACCCCTTCACTGCAACAGTAAGAAAGAATGGATTGTAGAGAATAGCAAATCTGGAAGTACAAGTATATTCATATGATTGACAATTAAAGGGGTAAGGGAAATGACAAAAAACACAAAAGAAAAATTTGAAGTACATTAATGGCATTAAAGGCATTGAAGTTTCCCCCAATGTTTTCAGATCTTAAGTTTATCAAGCCATAGTTTCTGTAATCAGGCATCAAGAATTGTAGACATAATCATGGTTCTTAAAATAATAATAATCTCAATTAGTTTGGAAAGTTTAGTTCCAAATTTCATCAAAGCAGAAATAAGTCAGCACAATCTAAACAAAAACAACATGTCTTTCTACACACAAACATGCTCAGCCTGGAAAACATCTCACTTTTTTTTTTTCTTTTACAGGATTTAAACAGACCAAACTGACAGGATTCTTGTTCTAAAACTTTATTGTTTTGCTTTGCTAAAACCGATTTCAGGGTTAATTCTATAACTGATTTCATTCGCTGCTATCATCTGTGTCATCAAAATAATCATCATCATCATCATCGTCATCTGACCAGTCGAATTCACTGAAACCCAAAGCCATGTTGATTTTCTTTCCTTTTCTCATAGAGGTGGTTTTAGAAGAATTCTTTTTGGCTTGCATGTTTATCTGCATTCCAGAATGCAGGACAGATCCTGCTTGGTTCAGAGAGAAGATATCCCCAAAGCCCGTCATCATCAAGGCCTTCAGACTTTGGTTCATGCCAGCTACCTCCCCGTTACTTGTTGCTGTGATCTGACATGACATCTCTGCACTGTTTGACTCCTCTGTTTTAGATTCAAAGTAAGACTCCTCAGACATTCTTGCAGCAAGAGGTAAGAAAAACTATTTAAAGGAGGAAAGGACAGAGCAAAAGTGAAAGTTAGAACCAATTTAAAAATCGAGGAAAAAGACACCACCAGATTAGTTGGCAATCAACAGAAAGCACAACGATTAGTGAATCTAAACACGGAGATCAAGTAAGAATTCATTAAACCAGACAGCTTCATTCTGCGGTCATTGTTCTTAAATGAAAGTGCAAAATCACTGAGTCGCATGGCAAGAACCACAGGTAGCAGAGCTTTCATAACAAAAGAACTCTTCATTTCTACAGCATAAAACAGAATGTGCCATCTCCCAGCCAGGTGCGCTGGCTCCCAAGGCAATGCGGGTACAACAGAAGTCTGAGTGAGTTGCTTAATTGAACCTTTCAGAATTGAAGAATAAATCACGTTAAGATCAGAGAACCCATCTCCCAAAGTTTGGTGCAGAAGTAGCAGCCCTCTAAATATCAGAAATAACAGCAGCAGTATTATTTGTGCAGAGACTGGTTTTGAGCGTATGCTCAAAAGGAGAAGAACGGGTCGCCCTGCGATGGCCGCAATCAGAAACGAGCCTCGCGCCAATGCAAAGGAGACGGGAACCAGCCTCCAGCCCACGCCAGCACCTTGCTTCTGGGAGCTGTCCCAGGGAGGAGCAGGCAGGGGGAGAGGGGCTGTTTGGTCGGCTGGTCAGCTTCTTCAGCTTGGTTGCCTTTTCTTTTTTTTTTTTTTTTTTCCTTTTTTTAGTGATATCAATAGATATCTGCCATTTGGTTGTATATCGTATTAAATCTCTACTGATTTAATCGTCACCTACAGATAATGGTGTTTTCCTGACCCAGTCTGTTTGTAGTAACAAATGAAACATGCCTTCTCCAGCTAACTAATGATTAATGCCTCTTCAGAGTGGTCGGGCTAGTAACCTCTGTGACATGCTTGCCTGTTCTCCACAGGGAGTAAAAATTCATGAGTTTCATCCCAAATTAAATTACCTACTAAAGCAACAGCAAAGGAGCTATGTGTGAACACCTGAACTGGCCTCTCTTTCCAAAGCTGTTTGCAAAACTACCTGCCCAAAATTCACGGGTTTTCACATCTTTTTTAACCTAATCAGAAAACTGACTGAAGAGTCAACAGCTGTTGGTCACAATGGGTTACAGGGATGATTACAGTGATGTCCTGGTCTATACCACAGGAGGCTTCATGGCCAGGCTGCTCAGAGAATGCCCATTTCTTGGCAAAACCACTTATATTGACTTATATTGACAAATTGTCTATCGTTAAAAAGTAAAAAGTTTTCCCTACTTACATAGGCTTTCTATTTGCGTTGTGGTTAACAGAAGTTAGTGATCATGGTTTAAGAAACGAAAATAAAATTAAGAAGTTGGGGAGATAGGGTGCCCTAAATACTCGTCATGCGTCCTATGGCTAAGTGACAAAAGAACATGCAGCTAAGCTTCTGTACACTTGGCTGTACAGGAAAAAACAATTACACCATCACCAGAGCACTACTCAGATGAAGGACACCAAAAGCTCCTACTGATGAAGAGAAGGAATATTTTAAAAACAAGATCTAGCCACAGAAACAAGATGCCCAGCACACACGTTTCAGTGCTAGGTGGTTCTTCCGTCAGCTATTGGAGTTTTAGTCACTTTAGATCCATGGAAAAGCATCCCCTGACATATGGGAAGAATTTCCTATAAAGATCAACAAAGCTGCAAAAAAGCTTTCCTTTAAAACACGTTTCTGGTTCAGTGTTTGTGCAATGCCTGGCAGTGGGTAAGCTGCGAATGGGCTGTAACTGTGGTTCATTTTGCGAGTTATAATCACCTTACTTCCTCCATATTTTGCCATCTCGTTATCTGGAGAACTTAGGAGCTCTTTGCAACAGGACCTGCTTTGGTGTCGCATTGCATATGATAACTATCATGAAGAGACTTTTACAGATGGCTGGGATCCCCAGTCTCTGTACAAGCCATGGTTCTCCTTAAATGACCACCTGCAGGTGCATGGCACCACAAGTGAGTATCTGGATTTCGTGTCTTGCTCACTCTCTTCCTCTAAATATGAGCTTCAGCTTAGCTACATACACTCCCTTCTTTAAGTCAGGTCTTCTTTCAAAAAAAGTCTCCCATTTCACCACAGCTGTGGATATATTTTACTCCTCCAAAAGGCTCCAGATTCCCTTGTGCAAGAGGCTCTTGGAGATTTGCACAAAGGGAATTTGCAGAGGTCAGACTCAAACGTGTCTGTCACATAAGACACAGCAGAAACAGGGTCAAACCAAAAGCAGGGAGAAACACTACTTTCACAGAAGTTTTTCTAAAGATTGGCCTCATCTTTCTCTCGTGCTGATGTGTGTAAAGCTATACTTTATTCCTTGGAGTAGGAGGAGCCTGCCACTCATAGCTACCTCCCATGCAGGATGGCAGGATGAAGCTCTACCAACCCTAAAACACTGGAGAATCAAGTGGCAGAGACAGCTTCGCTGTTCTCTTTTCACTTGGTTTGAGTTTCTCCTCTTGCACACCACTTCAGTAGTATCTGCTGGCCTCTGGTCTTTGCTGCAGAGCAAAATGAGCAGGGATGACAGTACCAGCAAAGACACAACAAGGCCTAGTTGTGTTAAGAACCAGGCATAAGCTTAGTCGGCACCCTAAGCTGTGTTATTAGATTTGGTTGCCGTATCTTTACTACTGTTTTTACAGCCAAGGTAGCTTAAAATCGAGCAGATCGCTGTCGCAATCCTCCAGTTTGATACTGCTGAGCAGACGTAGCCTGAACTGAGGGAGGGAAGGAGGGAGGGAGGGAGACACTTGACTCCAAGGACTACAGCTTGCAAACAGAATGCCCAGGGATATTTTGCAAATGGTTTACAGCTATGAATTTAAAATATAATTGTATTTGTAACCAGTGCCTTGTAGAACTTCATTTGCTATAAGAAAAACAATCCTGCTTGAATAAAGCAACTTTTGCCAGTATGTCAATTTTTTTCCAACAAAAGGGCTTTTTTTAAAGCCATTCAGTGTTAACAGTTCACTAAAGATCTATAGAAAAAACAAGCCTATATTTCTCTATTAGAAGAAATTGCATTTAAATACAACAGGAGAGTTGGGTTAATGTTATGCAGAAAGATAGTTCATGCTTAGCACAATAGGCCTTAGCACAATGCTTTATTCTTTCAGCAATGCCAGCTCTAAGTGAAAAGTAGAAGTCATAAGCAAGTACAGCATAAAAAACCCTAGGGCCTTGCTCGTGAAAAGATTTGCTCATTAAGGTTTTGTCGCATGCTGTGCTCAGGATAGATGATGGCCCACAGCTCAGTTACTGGAAGTTTGCAAGCATTAAAGCAGGCATACAGATATCTACTGAGAACATACAGTATCTGCACATAGGAAAACATTCATTCTTCATGATTTCATGACTGCATGTTCACAGCTGGAACATGAATGCGACTTCATTCAAACAACAGCAATAAGCTATGCCTTAAAAACAAGTTGTATGTAAATGGGTCTGTCTGGAATCGGCGTTATAAGTAGGATAAAATTGTGCATAAGAAAAATCATATTCTACTACAATCTCAATTTGGTATTTGTTTTGGCTAGTGCTTTAAAAACAAGTAGGTAATGCAGTATTTTTCTTAACAACAATTCTGTTGTACTATGTCTAGCCATGCATTAACCCTGTGGTCCTCCCTCTGCCAATCAGTAGTCAAGAGCACCGTATTTCGTTAAGAAATTCAAGATAATCTAAGGAAGTTTTTTTGTTCAATTTGTTAATAGAAATGTGGCAATCCTAACAGCTAATAACTGGCCAGTACAAGTATGTTAACTATAATTATGAACAAAGCCCTAAATTAACACTCCAAATTTTGACCCCCTTTTTCAGAAATGGAAATTTGCTTCTTCTCAAAGAAAAAGAATAACAAAAAAAAAAATCTACATAGGTTTCTCAAGCCTTCTTCTGCAAGAAACAAATGATTCTTACATTTAAGACCAAATCCTACATCCATTAAAGTCAACAACTTTCTAGTTGAAAAATGAATTTATTGAACGCAATCAACTTTTAAAGATGAGAACTATAATTAAATCAATGGGAAACTACTTAAGTGCCCACGGCACAATATGAACCATCAGCAATATCTGGTATCTAACGTATTAGATGAAATTTTAAAAAATAGTATAGTTATGTGCAGTGAGGTAATAAAAGAGACTTTAATTGGCCCAAAGGAACAACTAAAGAAAACAGGGGCACTATTTCCTTGGTGTGTCTTTAGATTTACATAGACAAAACTCCAAATACTTTCTGAAGTAAGATGAAAGGTTGAATCATTGTCTACTTACAGGAGTATTGGACTGTTCGGTTAACTTCTGCTCCCACATCCTCAAACGTCGCTCCCGTTCCTTTAGTTCCTGCTCTTTAAAGCTCAGGTCACGCTCCAGTTTCTTTAGTCTCTCTAAGGTTGCCTCAATTTCGCATCTGCACAGAGACAATTTGTTACGTCTTGTCTTTTCCTGACAGATATAAATTGTTCATAATTCCCACTTGAATGTTAATTAAATGTGAAAGGCTGAAAAGTACAATACTAACTCAAGCAGTTCATTTAATTACCAAATGCAAAAAAGCCTTTCAAAGCTTTAAGAACAACTGGCAATGTTTATGCTTGAGAATAACTGTAATACCTTCAGTTGAAGAAAAATAACATTTAAAAGAGTAAAATGCCATATAATAACAACTTTTTAAAAACTAAAATGCCGTCTTTTCCCTCAACATGATGAAACATGATCTTATCCATATAGAAACTGCATTAAGAACTGGTAACGGGACAGCCATTAGCAACACAATACGGGCAGTCTAAGAAGCCCATTTGCCTGGGTTTACAACTTGGCTATAAATATTATTTGGACTTATACTCAAAATACACAGAAGCAGCACTGAGGTGTTTTTCCCACTTACCTTCCTGTTTCTCTCGGTGAAGACATAAGAAAAAGAATATAAACCATGATATGACCCAGCCCTGCAAATGGTTACAAATAGAAGCTTCTCAAGTTAGGAACAGTGAATAAAAGGATTTGGTTTACTTTTCTCTGCTTCTCACCATACATGCAAAGGTGTGAAAAATAAGAAAGGCAGGAAGTGAAGGTGGTATTCACAAGCTTCAAATAGCGTCTTTATCAGGTTGCATTGCATGTACCTCATCCCTTAACAAAGAGGTTTCCTTTGATGTGCTTTCTGATGGACCCTATCTTTTAAACACATGAACTGAACTGCTCTCAGAAAAGAGTTTAACAAGTTTTGCACTCCAAATGCATGGGTGTATACTAGAAGGTACAGAAAAATAATTCTGTCACTAAATTCAGACACATTTTTTGCTTGTGGGATAACCAAAGAAAAACCTCCAATTTGTATCAGAGGTTCTATTTGCATTTAACAAACCGTTTCTGTGACTGCTTGGGAGACTGTGCACTGCCTGCTACCTGTATCCTTCTACTACTTCAACTGTTTCCTATTCACATTGTGGGAATAGCCAATCTCAGCATTTTGTTTTCCTCCTAGAGAGAGCAAGCTCCTAAGGAGACAGAGATCCTGAACGGAGCTCTGAAGATAGCTTTTGGGACTCTCTAATGCCAAATCTGCTCAAACTTTCACAACATTTTCCCTTCATAAACACACTGCAAACAAAGTCTGCTCCTTCTGATATTTTCAGAAAGAAAATAAAAAGGACTAAC